AACCCTCTAGCCACGTGTCGAGGTGGGCCGTAGGGCGAGGATATACCAATAAATCCCTATATTGGTATTGCTATTTTAAAATGATTTTCAAAAATAACAAAAGAAGTCAAAATTTCCGTTCTTAAAACCAGTGTTTAAGCCAGTTTAACAATTTTACGAGATTCTACGAAATAACAAGATATAGGAACAATATATTGTAAAGCCGTTAAAGTCTTTAGAATATACAAACTAGATCGCATTATAGTACAGTAAAAGAAAAATAATAAATGTAAAATATGAAAATGAATACTACATACTTTCCCAAACAGGTATTAATCCGCCAATAAACAAGAATAATTGCTTATAAAGAGGAAAAAGTAGAAGAAGAACTTCTCAAAATAGTCCATTATATGCACGTGTCCCATAACTGACGCAAATCCAGTAAGGAAGCCTGTTATTATCCTGAGATCAAAAAAGGTCTGCTTACTACATGCCGCTGACATTGGCATATTCTTCTAAAGTTATTTTCTTGTGGCATTTTAAAGTAATTACTATTTAAATGGGAATAAGTCACGGGGGGACTAAGACGAAGGCAGAAAGGAAATATAACTGATTCTGATGGAAACATCATCTTGGACAAACAGAGTAAAATAAAATCGTGAAAAGAATATGTCGAAAAACTATTTGAAGACCAAAGAGATAACACCTTGAGCTAGAAGAAGAGGTAAATGATGGACCAAGAATATTACAGCAGGAAGTTTATTTCGCAAAACACAGTTAAAGGATGGCAAAGCGGCAGGCCTGATAATATACAAGCAGAACTACTCAAACTAATGGACAACGAATCAATAGCAATAATCGCAAAGATATTCAACAACATATACAACTCTGGAGAAATACCAACAGAATGGCTGAAATCTGAGTTTATTGCACTTCCAAAAAAAACAGGAGCCAAAAAATGCGAAGATTACCGTACTATAAGCCTCATGAGTCATCTCCTAAAATTGTTCCTAAAGATAATTCATAAGAGAATCTACAAGCTGTGTGAAAGTCAAATTTCCCCAACCAGTTCGAGTTCACAAATGCTGTTGGTACTAGAGAGGCTTTGTTCTCAGTACAAGTCTTATTCCAGAGATGCAGAGACGTCAACTGCGACGTATACGCATGTCTGGTTGATTACGAGAAAGCGTTTGATCGAGTACAGCACGCCAAGATGATGCAAATACTAAAAGAAGCAGGAATTAACAACCAAGATCTGAAAATAATTAGAAATCTTTACTGGAATCAGACAGCAAATCTCAGAGTTGAAGGTGAACACACTGACTATGTGAAAATCATGCGTGGAGTGAGGCAAGGCTGTATTTTGTCTCCTCTAATCTTCAATCTGTACTCTGAAAGAATATTTATCGAAGCTTTGCACGAAACTGAAAAAGGTATTCTACTAAATGGTTACCGGCTAAACAACATCAGATATGCAGATGACACCATAGTATTTGCGGACAACTTAGAAGACCTACAAGTTCTTATGAACAAAATCACGTATTACAGTCAACAATATGGACTCAATATAAACGTTAAGAAGACAAAGCTTATAATAATTAGCAAGAAAAGGATAGCAGAAGGTCAACTCTACGTCAACCAATCCCCTGTAGAAAGATTGACGCACTACAACTACCTCGGTATCATATTAAAAGAAGAATGGCAAATCAATCAGGAGATTAGAGCATGCATCGGAAAAGCTAGATCCTCCTTCAATCGGATGGGGCCTTATTTAAGAGTCACAACCTTTCTCTTGATAAAAAAGTAAGAATGCTGGACCTGGAAGAATGAGGAGGTCCTCAGAAGAATGAATAAGAACCGAGAGATACTGACCACCATCAAATCTCGAAAGTTACAATTCTTCGGACATATTCTGCGAAATGAATCTAGATGTGCTCTCCTTCAAGCCATCCTGAATAGAAAATATTTGAAAAACGAGTCCAGGACGAGAAGAACATCTTGGTTAAAAAACCTCAGAATCTGGTTCAATACAACATTGGTGCAGCTTTTCCGCGCTGCTGCAGATAAGATAAAGATTGCCATGATGATCGCCAAAATTCGTAATGGATAGGTACATCAAGAATCAGAAAGCCACAATTACAGAATAAAGTAAGTTTATTGACGTTGCAATTTTACACTTCGGAAATCGTTGTCAAAATACAAACTTTAGTAAATAATACTTATTATTTAATGTAATTTACTTATGTTTGTATTTTGAGAAGTAGAATTTGAAACGTCAATAAACTTACTTTAACCTGTAATTGTGGCTTATTCCCATTTAAATAGTAATTGCTGACATTGGCATAATCTAACTAGATTAAACGGCTGTGGTGATTAAAGGAACTATCAAACTTAAAAGAGTATCTCAATTTATAGGCTTATTCAAATTAAACCTAATTCTAATCAAATTTTTATTATCTAGACTATAAAAGTACATATATATGGAGAATATTTTCTTGTAAATGTTACAAATTGGGCTACATTTAATCATGGTATTTCCTTTATTTGGAAGTTAATGGTAGTTAATGAAATAATTATTTGTACACGTCTTCTTTCACTTAAATTGATTACTTGAAGCAGCAGTAAAGGTTGAAGTCGTCTTAAATTTAACCGTTTTATAGGCAATCGTTATTTACAGCCATGGGTGCGGAACAATCCTAAGTTGCCGAGTGTGAAATTTAACACTCCACTTTTTACCACGGCTCTACTAATATTTTACCAGCGTATCCGCCCACAAGATCGGCCCATCCATAAAAATATTTTAATTTAGTAGTAATCGGTCTAATAGGATTGAAAACGTAAATAAGCTGCTAATAAATTACAACAAAGCTCACGCACTCAAATTAGAAGCGACGTGTCCGCAGAAAAAACCAGAACGATTTTAAACTAAAAATAATGAATGTGTATCAATCAGAAACGTTAAGCCACTAATGGATCAAGTTTATGCTCCCATATAAATAACTAGTTGGAACTGATGGGCTGATGGGTTAGTTGCTGCCAAGGACGTAACAAAAGAACGGCAGAACAGGGCAATTATTGCGGTCTCTTTAACAGATAGGCTGAGTACTGTTTGATAGAATAATTATTAAAATTAACGATTTATTACTTATAATCAAAATACATTTCAAACAGGGTTGTAGAAATAATTTTTTACTGACTAACTGACAATTTATTTTTTTAGCTTTAGACGACCGGTTTTCGACAACTACTTTTTTGTCATCTTCAGGTCTCCAGACAAGTTAAATTAAAATGCTGAAACAATTATCGTAACTAAATGAGTTCTATCAGGTATGTTGCAAAATGTGCCAATTTGCTTATGTGTGGTTTGACAGACATCAACAGAAAATAATTCAAGCAACCACAAGACAATGCAGAAGTCAGAATGGCGACCTATTAACAACAAGTGTGGCAGCCGTAGCTTAGTAGCTGTGTTACTGGCTTAACAAGCTAGAGGGCCAGGGTTCAAATCCCGGCACCGACAAAATTTTTAATTTCTAATTTAACTGAGTTGTTACCGTTCTTCGGAGGTTACGTAAAGCCGTCGGTCATGTTAGGGACGCTTGCGCGTCCTAGAAACCCTAACACTAGATCTTAGCCAGAAGGTTACACAAACTTTACTTTACTTTTTTTAACAACAAGGAAAGATGTTCTACATCTATCCTACAACATCAATGTAATAATTTTCTTTCATCTTTATATTCTTGGTTTTGCGATAACTCGTTGCATCTAAATGCAGAAAAAACGCAAGTTATACATTTTCACAATAAACAAAAATACTTGGAAAATCTTCAGCTTATTTTTAACAACATGCAAATAGATACGGTGTCGTCAGGCAAGTTTTTGGGAATAACGATTGACGAAAGTTTGGATTGGAAGTTGCATTGTGGAGCGGTTGTTTCGAAGTTGAGTTCCATTAACTATCTAATTAGAAATTTAAAATATGTTCTGACGGAAAATCAGCTAATTATGATTTATTATGCACTCGTAGAGTCCAGGCTAAGATACGGGATATGTTTTTGGGGTATGTCTGGTTATGCAAATGGTATTTTCGTCATACAAAAGAAAATATTGCGTTGTGTCGCTGGTGTCTCCCGACTAACTAGTTGTAGAGAATATTTTAAAAAATATAAAATTTTAACATTGGCGTGTCTATACATTTTTGAATTATGTGTTTTTATTTTTAATAACTTACATCAGTTTAAAACGAGTGGTGATATGCATAATTTAAATACTAGATATTGTAATAAACTTTATATACCATTTTCAAAAGGTAACATTAAATTTAAATCGCCCAGGTATACGGGCTACAGGTGTTTAATCATTTGCCCACAGTTGTAAAGTCCACCAGTTCAATAAATGTATTTAAGAGGAATCTTAGGCAATTTTTATGTGAAAAAGTGTTTTATACAATCGAAGAATTTTTTAGATCTTAGATATTAGCTGTATTTCATTTAGCTTTTAAATTCATTTCATGTCTTGTTTAGTCTAGTTTAGTGTTTAGTTTGTAGCAATGTATATTTATGACTAATTCTATACAAACTATGTTTGTCAGAAAGAAAATAAAGAATTTAATTTAATTTAATGTATTGTGTAGACGGGTGGAATACTTTAACCAGGCACTTAATGTGAAGGAAGAAGAACACCAACGATTCTTGAAGTTAAAGATGCAGTATAAAACTAGCCAGAAACAAATCACCCGGAATAGATAGTCTCCCAGCTGAACCATATAAGGAAAGTGGCCATGATGCCATAATGGTATTACAGCAGCTAATAAAAGAAATATGGATGGAAAAGTTTTAGGGACTTGATGGGTTGCAAGTTCTTATTATGCAGTTTTGGCTGTGTGGTATGGTTACTCTGCCATTTACAAACACTTTAAAAAGGCAAAGACAGACAAGAACAGAAGTACTATTGAAAGATCTATGTACAGTGGCCTATAAAGGTAATTTTCTTCATTACAGTTTCTGTTAAATTTAGCCATTATGTATGACATTTTGGAGGAATTTTCGATGCTTTCAGAGGCTTTACAAAACAGAGATACTACTGTTGTTTATGCTGATAAATTGATCAGAAGAAGAATTGGATTTTTTAAAACTTTGAAAGAAAAGCCTGAAAACAAGAGCCTTGAGGCTTACATTGTTGAGAAGGGCGGTAATTTTAACAATGTCCCTATTACAAAAATGTCCGCCAAAAATTGCGACCATCAACCACAAACAACTGATAACAAGTGTAATAAACAACTTAACTAGAAGAATGTTTACTACTAAATCCAGTCATAAGTCAACATCAAGCGCCTCTTCAAACTGTAAGCTACAATATGATTATCTTCTATCTGATTTAAAAGTACAGGAAACTGATCAGTACCCAACTGACAAATCAGTACGATATGGGTAAGAAGAAATTTAAAATCTCTGCAAAATGTTTAAGCTTAACTAAATCAAAATAACAAACTGCTTTCGAGATTATATCGAGAACATTTCACCTTCAAAAGTACCAAAAGATCTCATCCCCTTGTTGAACTGCACTAAACTGATTCCATTTAGTTCATCAGAATGTGAACGAGGTTTTAGTCTCATGAACCAGATAATGACTGATTTGCGAACTAGACTCTTAACCAGACATGTTTCAAGCCTTAAGTTTATAAAACAACATGGATCAAGTATAAACGAGTGGAATGTGGAACCCTATGTGAACACCTGGTTAAGGAGACACCGCACAATAGACGACACTAGGACACGTACGGCAAAACCATCTCCGGAAGAAGAAAATCCATTTGTTCAGTTTTTGTAAATTGATTAACTGGTTAAACTCAATTTCTTGAAGTTAAAGAAAATTAATATGTTCAGATATTGTAATTTTGATTGAATGTGAAACACTTTCCTTTGTATGTTAAACACCACCGTTCGTTCCTATGTTATATTGCCATGTAAATAATAAAACTGGTTTATTATAATTGTGTGGTTTAATTTTACAATAAATGGTTAAGTTTGTGTGGCCCAACAAGTCTTAGCATATGCTGATGACGGTGACATAATAGGACGTAGCAAGCGAGATGTTGAGCAATATCTCCTAGAATTGGAAACAGCGGCGAAACAGGTCGGTCTAGTCATCAACAAAGACAAAACCAAGTACATGTTGGTTACAAAGGATCCGATAGCAAACGAGGAACGAGAAACAGTCTTTGGAAGTCATACCTTTGGACGTGTTGACAACTTCACATACCTTGGGTCGCTATTGACTGCTACCAATAAAACAAGCGAAGAAATCAAAAGACGAATAAATCTTACAAATAGGGCATACTATGGACTCCAAAAGCATTTCCACTCAAGAAACATTCAAAGAAGAACTAAAATTATTATATACAAAACATTGCTGAGGCCGGTCCTCACATATGGAGCAGAAACATGGACTCTAACGCAGAAAGATGAAAGACTTTTGGAATATTTGAGCGTAAAATACTCCGCAAAATATTTGGAGCTATAAACGACCAAGGGCAGTGGCGCAGAAGATATAATTTTGAATTGTATCAGCTCTTTGATGAGCCAGATGTCATAACGTTCATTAAAACACAGCGACTTAGATGGGCTGGACACATAATACGAATGCCAGAAAATACGATTGCTAAAAAGCTAACCACAGGAACACCTGTAGGAAGAAGAAGCAAAGGCCGACCGCGAATTAGGTGGTTAGATGGAGTTGAAACCGACTTACGGATATTAAAAATCAGAAGATGGCAACATGTTGCCAGAAACCGAACAGAATGGCGACGAATCTTAGAGCAGGCCAAGATCCACAGAGGATTGTCGAGACAAAGATGATGATGGTTAAGTTTGTGTCTCCAAAATATTTAAATTAGGCTATGTTGTCTTCTTTTCTCACAATTAAAATAAAATAAAAATTCAACAATTCATTGAGAAGAATTTAAATATTTTTGAATTAAGCAAATGCATATAGATTTTAAAATATACAGACGAAACTTGTATTAAAAAAACATAGAGTAATATTTTACTTGTAAAAAAGTTAAGAAAAGTGCGTTCCGGCACTGCTAATTTTACCATGACACCACTGTGTTAGATTATAAATTGGGGTTGAGAGCTTTTGCGAGCATAGTCTAATGAGAATATTCACATCATACAGAAGTCTTGAAGATCTGTCGAGTGTACTTAGTTTATTACCTATCAATAAATAATTTACTTCACGACTTAGAAATTATTTCATATAGTATTTTACATCTCTCTTTACATACTCTCGTGGTATATCCACGAGAGTAATATACGTCATTCTAAAGTTGAACGACAGATATAACATCAAAATAATACAGACTTATGCGCCAACCACAGACCATAGCGAAGAGGAAATAGACATTTTCTATGACGAAATAACACAAGCACTGAAAGAAAATCACACCCATTTTACAATCATATGTGGTGATATGAACGCAAAAATTGGCATGAAATCCGATCCATCAGAATTTGTACTTGGAAACTTCGGCAGCGATGGAAGAAATGAACGCGGACAAACTTTATTAAACTATCTCCTTCAGAACAAATTATATTAAATGAATAGCTTCTTTTACAAAAAACAACATAGAAGGTGGACATGGAGAAGCCCGGACGGGAGAACGCAAAATGAAATTGACTATATAATAACAGATAAAAAATTTATAGTTAAAGATGTCACTGTACTCAACAGCTTCACAACAGGAAGTGATCACAGAATGGTTCGCGCTAGAATAGAAATTAACATCGATAAAGAGAGAAATAAACTAATAAGAAAGAAAAAATTGAAAGCATGGTCACAACCAAAAAATGAAACAGAGTTTGCAGATCAAATAACGGTACGTCTACAAAACAGGCCCCCCACAAATGATATAAATCAGCTAAATAAAGTAATTACTAATACCATAGCAGAAGCTCAAAGAAAATGTTGTACAGGTAACAAGAGAGAGGAGAGAATCACTGCTAACACCAAACTTAAAATGGAAGAAAGAAGAGAAATGCTAAAAGATAAGAGTATAGAACAACAAAGCATAAATAAAATCAACAAAGAGGTCTCAAAAGCAATTAGAAAGGACATAAGGGCATATAAAAATGAGAAAATCTCGCAGACAATCGAGCACAACAAGAGCATGAAGATATTAAGAAGGAAATTGACGAACAGCAGAAAAGAAATCATCAGACTTAAGGGAAAGAATGGCAAACTAACGTCCAACAGAGACGAAATGCTAGAGATAGTAGAAGACTTCTATAAAACACTATACACAAATAAATTGGACTTAAACCCGACAGAACATACAGAACAAAAAATTATGAATCAAGGTTCAGAAGATATTCCCGACATATCAACGGCTGAAATTTACCATGCTCTAAAGAAAATGAAAAAAAAAACAAAGCACCAGGAGAAGATGGAGTAGTGGCGGATGCGCTAAAAATCGGAGGCTCTGCTCTCATCAGGACAATCAAGCAGCTCTTCAATATATGCTTAGAAAACCAAGCAATACCAGCTGAATGGAATAATTCTATAACGCTCCTCATGCATAAGAAAGGAGATCAAACAGACCTCGAAAACTATAGGCCAATCAGTCTTCTAAGTCACCTGTATAAATTATTTGCTCGAATTATCACTGCCAGAATTGAGAACAAACTAGAAACATGCCAACCAAGAGAACAGGCAGGTTTCCGCCCTGGGTATGGTACAAATGACCATCTAACTTGTCTAAAGGCCCTAATTGAAAAAACTATAGAGTACAACCGGCCACTAGTTCTAGTATTTGTTGACTATAAAAAAGCCTTTGACACTATCGAGATGGTAGCTATCTTAAGAGCTTTGAGAGATTGTAGAATCGACTACCGATATACCAGCATTATTCAACATATATATGCAAATGCCACAACAGCAATAAACCTCCACACCCCTACTCAAAAAATAAAACTAAAAAGGGGAGTTAGACAAGGAGACAACATGTCACCAAAACTATTCAATGCCGTAATGCAGCATGCATTCCAGATGTTAGAATGGGAAAACAGAGGTTTGAGTGTCGATGGCGAAAGGCTGAACCACCTACGATTTGCAGATGACATAGTTCTAATAACCGACGACTTAAAGGAGGCCAACGAAATGCTACAAGATTTACAACGAGTCTCCCAAAAAGTAGGGCTGGAAATAAACTTTGCGAAAACTAAAATGATGACCAACTTAGTACCTAGTGGACCATTGAAACTAGAAAACTGGCATATTGAAACGGTTGACAAATACATATATCTGGGCCACGAAATACAAATAAGTAGAGACAACCAAACATGCGAATTATCTAGAAGAATAGCTTTAGGATGGGCAGCCTATGGCAAGCTAAAAGACGTGTTTAAGGAAAACATCCCAATAAAGCTAAAGAGAAAAGCATTTAACCAGTGCGTACTTCCGGTGCTCACTTATGGAGCTGAAACACTGACATTGACTAAAGCATCAATAAAAAAGTTACAAGTAGCACAACGAAAAATGGAAAGATCTATGCTTGGCGTAACTTTGAGAGACCGAATACGAAATGATGAGATACGGCGAAGAACTGGAGTGGAAGACGTCATAAAACGGATTACGAAGTTGAAGTGGAAATGGTCAGGACACGTCGCAAGACAGAGAGACAACAGATGGACAAAGAAGATTTTAGAATGGCGGCCAAGGGCAGACAAGCGAAATCGTGGAAGACCACCTACCAGATGGACGGACGACATTAAAAGAATAGTGACAAACTGGATCGCAGCTGCACAGGACAGAGAAGAGTGGAGACATCTTGAGGAGGCCTATGTTCGACAGTGGACAAATTTGGCTGTGTGATGATGATGATGATGAGTATTTTACATAGAATTTATACATCAACTTTATCCACCTAGCAATACAAATAAAACAATAAAAGCCAAGTACGCCAAACCATTTTCGATATATCTTGCAATGAGCACTTTTGCTAAAACTAATCGTTTAAATATTATTCTCAGGACGACTCCTTTAGGAACTAATCGAGACATACGTCACTGGATGGAATGTCATCCTTCGTAGGAGCAACTCTATATCTAGGAACTTATCAAAATCCGCAAGCTATCAAAAAATTGTCGACGTTGATTTATACAGTTTGATCTTCGATTGATAAGGTACAACTCTACCTTCGTCTTCTTCTTTTTCTCCTCTAGATAATACATAAATATATAACGGGACGCTTACATAGGCTAAGTTGATTTGATTGTTTTTGTAGTCTTAG